GTGTATCGTGAAGCCATTGGAAAACTATTGGGATTTTCGCTAGTTACGGCTGTCAAATGTGAGGACAAGACATTTTACGAACTTCATCGCTTGGTCCAGCTTTCTCTACAAGTCTACCTACCAACAGAGGAGTTGAATCGATGGAGGGCCACTGCGCTGGGAGTAGTTTCAAGGTTGTTCCCTCGGGATTGGATCACATGGAGAGATGTTAGTTCTGCATACATTCCGCATGTGCTTGTAGTAATCAAACATTCAACGGATCCCATTTCCGAAGAGCTTTGCTTTCGCCTAGCACAGTACCTTGTGGATAAGGGTTCCTACAATGATGCAGAAGTTCAATTGCGTCGATGTGTTGCACTTCGGGAAGAGAGTAAAGAGTATCACTGGAATGAGGAAGGTCCCAGCAGAGTCATGCTCCTGGGGGGGTACTCATATATCAAGGAAAGGCAGATGTGGCCGAGGGGATGCTTCGGAATTTATTAGAGGATATTGAGGAATCATTGGGCCGGAAAAATCTCACCGTCCTGGATACCGTTGACTACCTGGCTCTGGCGCTGCGACACCGGGGAAAGTATGATGAATCCGAGCTGATGAGGCGGCGTGTACTAGAAGTGCGCGAGAAGATTTTTGGACCAGACCACCCAAGTACTCTAACAAGTGTCGACAACCTGGCTCTTGTGCTACAATCCCAAGGAAAGTACAATGAATCCGAGGCGATGCACCGGTGTGCACTCGAGGGGTATGTGAAGATTCTTGGACCAGACCACCCCGACACCCTAACAAGTGTTAACAACTTGGCTATTGTGCTGGAATACCAAGGAAAGTACGACGAATCGGAGGCGATGAATCGGCGTACACTGGAGGGGCGTGAGAAGATTCTTGGACCAGACCACCCAGACACCCTAACCAGTGTCAACAACCTGGCTCTTGTGCTACGATCCCTAGGAAAGTACAATGAACCGGAGGCGATGCACCGGCGTGTAGTTGCTGGATATCAGAAGATTCTTGGACCTGACCACCCACACACCTTAATAAGTGTCAGCAATCTCGCCAGTGTGCTTCAAAGCCAAGGGAAGTACACGGAATCAGAGACAATACATCGGCATACACTAGAGCAGCGCAAGAAGATTCTTGGACCAGACCATCCCAAAACCCAATTTAGCGCCAACAACCTGGCTAGCGTGCTGCGGCTCCAAGGAGATTCTAACGATTCTAAGACGGTCGAGCGGCGTACAGGGCAGAGACTGCCTGCAAACCAAGAGGGTCAGCGGCCACGATTTGCTCGCCGTATGGTCCGTTATTTTCTTTGCGGGAGAGTAGTCTTCCGCAAGGGTGGTGGATGGACAAGGTGATGCATTGTATCGCTAGCAGCTTCGCAGGGCTAGAGGTGGCAAGAGTGGGTTACTAGTTTCTACCGGCATGGCGGGCTGTAGGGGTATACGGGGACAGTACTAGGCCATGTGGAACTAACAAGAATGACGAACCCGAGGCTATGTGTTGTGGGTTATCGCAGTGTTGCACGTTGAAAGGGTGACATGTGGGGGTTTTTTCTTCTTTTTCCCTTCCATTTTGTATTTCTTTTCCCCCTTTAGATATATCCTAGTACGTGTACTAGGAAACGATGTGGTGCTTGTATCATTTGTCTTCCCACCCGACAAACTCCTTCTTGTAACCTCTTTACCAGCCGGAATCATTCCAAGTCACTCGTTTGTTATTATTCACTCAACCCTCCTAAATGCTAAAATACCATCCTAGTCCTCCACCAACCTCCAGTTCCTTTTCCGGTATCTGTCCTGGAGGGGGTTCCTCATAGCCCCTGTGCGGCCCAGCATTCTAACAAAGTTAAAGAAACTCCGGCACACCTCTCGCTCCCCTAATACCATATCCTCCGCAAGGTGGGACGGACTATGAATCACAGCCCGGACGCTCTCCTATGATACGAATAGCAGTATCATATGATGCGGTCAGAGACAATAGGCTGTTGCCCAGAGTTTTGCAAAACATCTACGCTCGCTCGTCCATCACAACTGCACACATTCAACTCTTGTATCATCGAGCGAGTTTGTAAGTTGTCTACTATCCATATTATTCTTTTCCCTTGTTTAGCGAGATGGAGCATGAAGGATCTATTTATTCATGGGAAATACATTATAGCAGATCATGATCTTGTTGAACGATAGGGAAGATACAGAAGAGGCAGAAAGGATAGAAGTGTGGAAGTGGAAGGTTTGAAGGGAATTTGTTTAAGGAAGACGGAAGTACATAATGGGGATGACACAAGGGGGAAAGTGAAGTAAAGGGAAGGGAAGAGGGCGGGAATGTTGAATGTTGAAAATCATGAGGTGCTGCCCAGCATGCTCTCTCACGATGGGTTGTTTGTCTGATCGCATGGCTCCGGCGGTGTGCTTTGTTTTCGGGCGCGATATGGCTTTGGGTGCACATAGGCTCCCGCCCACGCCGTTTTGCCTGTTTCGGGAAAGCGCTTCGATCGCGGGAGTGTGCGGGAGACTTTTGGAGACATGCATCCGCCGGAAGGATGGCGGAGGGACTGGAAGGAATGCACGAAGGAAAGCGGAAGGTCATAAGGAGGGCCGGTGGAGGGTAGCCGAAGTTCGTCTTTTCTTTCTTAGCTTTTCTGTTTGCTTGTGTGTGGGAGATGTACCTGGAAGGATGGGAGGATTGGACTTTGTCTTTTGCATCGTTTATATATGTTCCTGTCTTTACCATCAGTCAACCAGTTAGTTAAGAGTGAGACTGCGCGATAGTTAGGGAGGTTCCCGAGGTAAAGAGTTTTCTCCCCTCGTGTTGTGCGATCCCTCATGTGAGTGAGCTTGGCGTTGTTCCGTTTTACTCGTACTCCGTACGTACAGCCCATTACTCGCTTAGTTCTGATTGGCCCGTTGCCTCGTATCCCTGCTAGTTCGCAGTCCGCTTCGCCGCCGGTCGTTCGTTGGTTCAATATCACGAAGTCTCCGCCGATTTGATGGTAAATGAGAAAGGAATAAATGCGGACTTTTTTTTACGATTTCTCCTCATAAGGTTCTCTGTTTGCCCATAGGTGGAATGAGCGGGAGAGGGAGTAGTGGCAGGTCGGAAATCGGAATCTCACATAATACTGTAGCATTCCTTAACGGAAGAGCCCTACTGGTACTTAATCACTGGTACTTAATGTAGGCCACAGCGAGCGGAAACACACTGTGATACGGAGCAGCCTAAGTAAAAGGTACTCTTAGTAAGCAACGGCTAGTGTATTTAGGCTCACCGTGGGGTACGCCAGAAGGAAGAAATCGGCCCAGGTACTCGTACGGTAGAGTAAGGCTGAGAAATTGGGAGTGATGGGATGGAGGGCCCCTCCCCGGCTGGGCTCTTGGAGGGAGCAAGAAGTGGCCGAGGCATGTTTGCATGCCAACCGAGTTCTGTATGATACACGAGTACCCGTGCTGTGCAGGTGAAGGGAGAGTTACGTATCGTACCTCCTCTTGGTTTGGACCTCAAAGCTTCAGACATGTAGAAACTTGCGTGCAATTGGACACGCAACTTAGCGTGATCTGTGTTGGCACACTCGACTCGCTTGCAATTTACCTATACCCTACTCGTAATCGCGCCAGCCTCGTGCGGCCTTTGATGCTATTTTTCATATTTGACTTGGGGATTCCTACAGATATGCCTCCACCATCCTTGTGCATGCTGACCCAAGTCGGCTAGCTTCTATAGCCCTCGCGAAATTAAGAGTACAAGTCTCGCATGATTGCCACAAAGCAGGCGTGTTGTGCCTCCTTCCGTAGTCTTAGCAATCTGCGCCAGCGTGGATTCTACAGTAGATGTCCGATTAGCTTTTATCTAGAAAAGAAGCTGGCCAGAGGCGAAGGCTTCTTTCCAACGGTGGGCGAAGCAACTCTTTTCCTGTATCGGCATCATTTGGTCGCCTCAAATTTGTATTCCGAAAAGGTTCAGCTGATGCCCATTTCACAATGCACGTCCACCTGGGGGATGCAGTTGGGAGTTGTCTGCTCGAATACCTTTCGTCTCCAGCCTCCTGCGGTGTAACGAGACATGCACCAGATGCTGAAAACTACCTAAACCGCGACCGCCAGAACATTCCCCAAACTACCAGGGAACTAGCTCAGGTGGCCGTTTTCGCCGCCCAGGCTGTTAAGACTACCGAGGTCTTAGCAGAGAATTTCCCCCTTCGTTACCGTACTGCCTTGAGACGCTGTCGCTTTAATACCCTTTCCGTACCCGTACGCTAAATCTTTGAACTCCCCTCAATCCCCATAGCCCGAGTGTGGATTACATCCCACAACTCCCTCAAAACAACAGAATAATTCATCTCTATATCCAAGGTTGGGTCCTCCACTACCCGTTCTACCGTATCCCCCCCTTATTGACTTGTTTCAGGTCTCGCCAAACAATTTTGAGCCATACACACCCCGGTCGGCAACGGATAGACTACGATTCCCCGCTCCAGATCCCTCGGCGACACTTTATCAGTTTCCCACCCGACCTGCAGAAACAGTCATACAGAACGAGCTAAACACGCCAGTACAGTACATAATGGATCGGTGGGATCCCCTTATCGCCAACCTCTACCATTTCAAGATTATGAGTACTAATCCAATAATCCTTCCAGACAAATTCCAGCCAATATCACCGGAAACTTCAGTGGGAATTCAGGGGATCATAATGTTTTTAGAAGCAATAATAATACCCTGAACACGGTTAGCCTGAACAATGTTCCCAACCTCGGGAGGATGTATCAAGGGTGCGTGTTTGGGGCCGGGGATAGAGGTATTATCAAGTTTTCCGAGTGATTTCTGGCCAAAATCTAAGGTGCTACCGATATCACAACTAGAAGAGGCATCCAGGCCTTATCGGATGATTCCATATGGTAGAAACAGCAAGTTCACCGGCCGTAAACATCTCATTGAGGAGGTAAAGAGGCTGTCCGAGGGTAGTAACCACAACCGGATAGCACTCCACGGATTGGGCGGCTCCGGGTATGTGTCCATCATTGTTACCAGAACCTCGCGGGTTTACTAACATTGCCCAGAAAGACGCAGATCGCACTCGAATACGTTTATCAGCGGGCAAGCGAGAGCGATTGTCAACTTCTTTGGGTGCATGGGAGCGGGGTACAAAAATTCAGCGAGGGTTTCAGAGCCATTGCGCAGCATGTTCGAATTCCCCTAGCCAGCGCCGAGATGGACGAAGAGGGATTCCTACAAAATATAAAGAGGTGGTTTGAAGGTCCAGATAAGAGCGATTGGATACTGGTCATTGACAACGCCGATAACGAGGAGGACTTTATCGGCAATAGCGGTCGCATCTCCAAATTCGTACCGCAAGGCGCTAGGGGTACTCTAATATTCACCACCAGATCTCTCCAAGTCGCGTCATGGCAGGGATGCCATAGGATCGATGTTGGCAAAATGGAGGGGGATGAAGCCCAAGAATTATTTTTGAAACGCTGGGGTAACTGGAACTGGAACGGTTCGAGAGATGAAGAAAAAGAAGCGATCGCCATGATACTAGACTCCCTACATCACATCCCATTGGCTATTGTAGGAGCGGCAGCCTTCATGACAGTAACACAGACACCGCCATCAACTTACTGGTCCATTTTCCGAGCAAGTGACGAACAAGCAAAGCGGCTACTTTCACGGCCGTTTTGCGATATCCAACGAGAAACTGATATGACCGAAAGCATCCTGGCTACGTACTTTATCACCTTTGACCGAATCACAGACCAGATGCCCCGAGGGGCGGATCTTCTGCGACTAATCGCATTCTTCGATCGTCAGAACATACCCGAAGAGCTATTAAGCCAATGCGGTTTGGAAGGGATGGATGATCCAATTGAGTTTCGTCAGGCAATTGGAAAACTATTGGGATTTTCACTAGTCACGGCTGTCAAATGTGAGGACAAGACATTTTACGAACTTCATCGCTTGGTCCAGCTTTCTCTACAAGTCTATCTACCAACAGAGGAGTTGAATCGATGGAGGGCCACTGCGCTGGGAGTTGTTTCAAGGTTCTTCCCTCGGCAATGGATCACGTGGAGACATGTTAGTTCTGCATACATTCCGCATGTGCTTGTAGTAACCCAACATTCAACGGATCCCGTTTCCGAAGAGCTTTGCTTTCGCCTAGCACAGTACCTTGTGGATAAGGGTTCCTACAATGATGCAGAAGTTCAATTGCGTCGATGTATTGCACTTCGGGAAGAGAGGAAAGAGTATGACTGGAATGAGGAAGGTCCCAGCAGAGTTATGCTCCTGGGGGGGGGTACGCATATATCAAGGAAAGGCAGATGTGGCCGAGGAGATGCTTCGGAATTTATTAGAGGATATTGAGGAATCATTGGGCCTAAATAATCTCACCGTCCTGGAGGTCGTCAGCTACCTGGCTCTGGCTCTGGAACGGCGTGGAAAGTACGATGAATCCGAGACGATGAAGCGTCGTGTACTAGAAGGGCGCGAGAAGATTCTTGGACCAGACCACCCAAGCACCCTAACAAGTGCCGACAACCTCGCTCTTGTGCTACGATCTCTAGGAAAGTACAGTGAATCGGAGGCGATGCACCGGCGCGCACTCGAGGGGTACGAGAACATTCTTGGATTAGACCACCCAGACACCTTAATAAGTGCCGGCAACCTGGCTAGTGTGCTACAATCCCAAGGAAAGTACGATGAATCGGAGGCGATGAATCGGCGCGCACTGGAGGGGCGTAAGAAGATTCTTGGACCAGACCACCCAGACACCCTAACAAGTGTCAACAACCTGGCTCTTGTGCTACGATCTCTAGGAAAGTACAATGAATCGGAGGCGATGCACCGGCGTGACCTGGAGGGGTGCGAGAAAATTCTTGGACCAGACCACCCAGACACCTTAATAAGTGTCAGCAATCTCGCCGGTGTGCTTCAAAGCCAAGGGAAGTACAAGGAGTCAGAGACAATGCATCGGCATGCACTAGAGCAGTGCAAGACCATTCTTGGACCAAACCATCCCAAAACCCAATTAAGTGCCAACAACCTGGCTACGGTGCTGCGCCTCCAGGGAGATTCTGACGATTCTGAGACGGTCGAGCGGCGTACAGGACAGAGACTGCCAGCAAACCAAGAGGGTCAGCGGCCACGATTTGCTTGCCGTGTGGTCCGTTATTTTTTTTGCGGGAGAGTAGTCTTTGACAAGGGTGGTGGGCCGACAAGGTGATGCATTGTATCGCTAGCAGCTTGGCACGGCTAGAGGTAGCAATAGTGGGTTACTGGTTTGTACCGGCACGGCGGGCCGTAGGGGTATACGGGGACAGTACTAGGCCATGTGGGACTAACAAGAATGACGAACCAGAGGCTATGTGTTGTGGGCTATCGCATTGTCGCGCACGCTGAAAGGGTGACATGTGGAGTTTTTTTCTGCTTTTTCCATTCCATTGGTATCTTTCTTTTCCCCCTTCAGATATATCCTAGCTCGTGTAATAGGAAACGATGTGGTACTTGTATCATTTGCCTTCCCACCCGGCAAACTCCTTGTAACCCCTTCACCTCCCGGAATCATCACAAGTCACTCGTCTGTTATCATTCACTCAACCATCCTGGATGCCAAAATACCATCCTGGTCATCCACCAACCTCCCATGCCCTTTCTGGCATCTGTCCTGGAGGGGGTTCCTCGTAGGCCCCGTGCGGCCCAGCATTCTACAAACTTAAAGAAACTCCAGGACACCTCTCGCTCCCCTAATATCACATCCTCCCCAGGAGCGGACTATGAATCACAACCCGGACGCTCTCCTATGATACGAATAGCAGTATCATACGATGCTATCAGAGACAATGAGCTGTTGTTCAGAGTTTCACGAATCATCTGCGCTCACTCGTGCTTCACAGCGGCAGCCCCATTCAACTCATGCTTCATCAAGTGAGCTTGTAAGTTAGTCACTGTCCATATTATTATTTTCACCCGTTTTGCGAGGTGGCAAATGCATGCTCTATTTATTTACCGCGAAATATATTGTGCCAGATCATCTCCGCAGAAGAGGCGTGGATAGAAGTACGGAAGCAGAAGGTTCGTGTGGAGAAGGAAAGGTGAATGTCTAGGGAAGACAAGGGAAGTAGGGGGGAGAGTACAAGGGAGATGGGATGGGATGGGATGGGATGGGATGGGTGTTGGATTGCCTATAGGGCATGGGGTCAGACGGATATGCAATTAGGCAGATATGCAGTTATCAGGCAGATGTTTTGTGGTGTGCAGTGGAGAGGTAGAAGGTAGTGTTTTTGGTTTCTTTCACATCCTATGCCGGTTGGCATAGGATATGGGTCTTTTTGGTGGTTTTGTGTGTTTGTTTTACACCCTATGCCACTAGGCATATGGTAGTTTGGTTTAGGATCGTTCTAGATTGCCAGAGGTTGCGGAGGATCATGACGAGTTAGGATAGTGTGTTTTCATTTGAGTTCAGTGTGTTTCCATGGTTGTTTGTGCTTTGGAGCTATATATCTCTTAGTCAGTCCTTAGCTAGATGGATCATCGATCACCGTTTCCACCACTTCTATCTTCCCATTTTTTTCATCTCTCATCTGCACTCATTTTTCACTTCACCGCTGTGCATTTTTGAGTTGTTTCTTTAATGGGAAGAGGACGAGAGGGGGATGGAGGGGGATTTCTTTTCCGATTTCTCATCATAAGGTTGTCTGTCTGCCCATAGGTGGAACGAGCAGGAGAGGCAGTAGTGGCGGTCGGAAATCGGGATCCCATATACCATTCTTGGATGGAAGAGTCCTACTGGTATGCGAGGGGTCGGCCCATGTACGTGTTGGAGATCGCGAGGTGCTGCTCGGCATGTTCTCCGGATGGTTTGTTTATCAGTTCGCATAGTCTCCGGGAGCGCGCTTTTGGTTTCGGGCGCGCTATGGCTTTGGGTGCACCTTGGCTTTTCGGGAAAGCACATCGGTCGCAGGAATGTGCTGCAGTCTTGGAGAAGTGCATCTGCCGGAAAGATGGCGGGAGGACTGGAAGGAAGGCACGAAGGAAAGCGGAAAGCTCATACGGGGGGGACCGGAGGCCGAGTAGTCGACGTTTGTCTTTTCTTTGTTCGTTTTTCTTGTTTGCTAAAGTACTAGGCCAAAAGGATCCGCACGATCGGTGGCTACCGCATGATACCTCAAAACACCCCACTCCTACCATCAACCACCCCTCAACCACGATGCCTCCACACAAGACAGGCTACCTTACAGAGTTTGAGAAAGGGCAAATAGTTGCTCTGAGAAACAAAAAAATCTCTTTTGGAGAGATTGGAGAGCTCTTAAACCATCCAAAGAGTACTGTTCAAACTTTCCATGACCGCTTCCAAAAGAGGGGTGATGCAAAAAACCTCCTTATACCTGGAAGACCCAAAATTATCGATGCCAGAACCCAACGCCGCCTAGTCAGAGAGTCTAAGAAGGCACGCCGCCAGACTTTATCAGAATTGTGCAATGATGTTGCACCACATTCCTCCCTCCAAACAGTCAAGAGAGCTTTAGCCTCAGTCAACATAAAGAAATGGAGAGCTAGGAAAAGAGCTCTTCTAAAGGATGAGCATGCTGTTAAGAGGTTAGCTTGGGCAATAAAGTATAAGGATTGGACAAAGGAAAACTTTGAAGGAGTCATCTTTAGTGATAAATCCTTGGTTGAAAAGTCTAAGGATCCTAAGGGTATATGGGTGTTCAGAACACCTGAAGAAAAGTGGCACAAAGACTGTATTCATGGAGTTACCAAGGGGCCAGGGGTAAAGCTGATGGTGTGGGCTTGTATTTGGGGCAGAAATAAGGGTCCTCTGATTCCTATTTTTGACAAGAGTGTGGATAGATTTGTATATATTGGAGTTTTGGAGGATGGTTTAGTTGATGTCTGGCAGGAGGTGGAGGATACAGTTGGGGATCATATCTTTT